GGGCCATGTGAACGTGCCCACCAGCACACGCCAGGCTTTGGTTTCTGCAACTCAGCCCCTCCCCACCCCCATTGCTCTAAGGACGCCTGTGAAGGGAGCAGCTCGTACTCCAGGTTTCTGCACAGCCCGGGGGGCCTCTCCACCCAGCACAGCACACGAGCCCTGCTTCCCGGACGCGTGGGCCCTCCAGGACCGCTCAGGCTAGACCTCCAGGGCACTGGGCCAGGGCAGCTGTGCCCAGGGTGAAAGGCACCCGCTTGCTTGCGGGAGGTCCAGGAAGGGGGCAATCGATGGCCATGGATGGTCCTCTTCCCGGCCTCTGTTTTACACAGGTGCGTACACCTCGCTTTGTCTTTTCCTCTCTCTGGTCCTGGTGTTTTACTGCTCATCCGTATTTTATTATGTGTTTTATTGGTCTGCTCTGAGCCCTGTGAGAGAGGGAAGATCACACATCAGTAACAGAGTATTAAATGAAACGCGAAGTGGCCGTCTATAGGCACCTGGCTGCTTCTCTCTAGGAATCGCTGATTAATTAGTAAAGTTTCCAAGAATGACATCAGCAAACCAAACGCTCGGAATGTCGTTTGGGCCCTAGATATACTCTGCCACAGAACTTGGCAGAGGGAAGGGGGAAACGTGATTGACAGGTGACGGAGGTAACGAAACTGAACCCCCGATCACGCTTCCAAACGCAGGCAGAAGGGCTGGGTCGTGCCCAGTGCCGTGCGTGTCTGGGGTCCGGTGTCACCTGCTGGCTGCCTCTCAGTCTCTTTCTTCCACTCCCCAACCCATTGCTGCTGCACAGGGGCAGGGAGTAGGACCTCGTTGATGGGAAGAGGAGGACGGGCTAGGACAGGAGGAGGAGGAGGGAGGGAGGCCCGGTCCCTGCCTGGGAGGGAGTCTAGCCACTGGAACCACGGCTCACAGCACACTCTGACCAAATAAACCAAGTGCCTTGTACAGCCTGGCCCATGAGCAACACCCCGGCATCACTGCCGTGCTAGGCCTCGGGGTTGGACGGATAAGTGACCACGCCCATCCTCCAGGCAAGATCCCTTGTGCTCACAGCCTGGGGTGCATCTGAACCTGGGCATTAGAAACACAGTCTTGGGCCGGCGCTGTAGCTCACTTGGTTAATCCTCCACCCGCAGCGCCGGCATCCCATCTGGGCACTTGTTCTAGTCTCAGCTGCTCCTCTTCCAGTCCAGCTCTCTGCTGTGGCCTGGGATAACAGTAGAAGATGGCCCAAGTGATTGGGCCCCTGCACCTGCATGGGAGACCAGGAGGAAGCACCCAGCTCCTGGCTTCGGATCGGCGCAGTTCCGGCCGTTGCGGCCATTTGGGGAGTGAACCAGTGGATGAAAGACCTCTCTCTCTGCCTCCACCTCTCTGTAACTCTGTCTCTCATATAAATACATAAAATCTTTAAGAAAAAAGAAAAGAAACACAATTTCATTCTCACTGTGGTCTGTGAGAAGGAAACCATAGTAAAGGAAGACACTTTGGGTCGCGGCAGGTGCAGTGGGGGTAAGGGCTGGTTTTCCCACTTAGAACAAAGGACAGGAGTATCTCCTCCCACTGGTCCCTGCACTCCCACTCCACAGACTGGGCCTGATCATTCACTGCCAGCCTCCCCAGCTCGTGGATGGTTAGTCCCGGCCAGACTGTGTCCCCAGGCCTGGCAGTGCGGGGCATTCGGTAGAAACTCCGGGAGAGTCAAGGCTGCACCGCAGAATGGATAGCCCACCATGCCACTGAAAAGCAGGGGTGAGCTCGATTTGTGTGCAGCTTCCCGGGGTCTGTGACATAGCAGGGGCCTTTGATAAGTGTTAAATAGACAAACTGGGGAATGGATGGTTGGATGGATGGATGGACGGACGGACGGATGCGAGAGGGAAAGGTGGGTGGGTGGATGGACAGATGAGGGGTGGGTGGGTTGATGGTTAGGGATAGACGTTAAATGGATGGCTAAAAGGATGGATCACTATTCTCTAGAGTCAAGGTGCCTACATTGGGTGGGGTTATACTTTCATGGGTCCCAGCCAACTCTAGGACTCTCCTTCTCCGTGGGTTTCCCTGGGCTTTTCCAGCCTCCTTGAGTTTTCCAATGCCATCTCTCCCTCACCTGTCCTCCCCTTGTTGGGGAACCCTTACTCGTCCCCCAGGGAAAGCCCGACTTCCTGGCTGGTGGGTCAGTCCCTCGTGCCAGCGCCTCTCACTGCCCGTGTCACCCCGACTTCCGGTCTCCCTACATGACGTGCTGCTCTCCCTGAGCAAGGAACTCCTCGAGGGGAAAGATCAGACCAGAAGCCTCCCCGCGCGTCCAGGTCCGACGTCCGGCTCAGTCTCTGCTTTAGGCATTAAATCTACCTTCAAGTTTAGCCTGCTTTGACATCTTCAGCGCATCTCAAGTGCTATAAGACTGTTTTGACGACCATGCAGGGCAGGCAATTAGTGACTAAGGCCTCACCTGTGCACAAGAAAAGACGTTTCATCCTCCCCGGCCTGAAAGTTCCGTGAGCTTCGTTTAGATTCCCATCTCGTTAACACTTCAGAACCAGTTCTTTCCATCTCGCTTTATCGCCAGGGCAGAAAGGGCCGATTTCTAGTTCTGAACGTGGACCTGCAGCTCGAGAGCGAGGAGCCACAACCCCCAACGACGCAGGACCTCCTGTGCTTGAGAACCCCTCCTCACGCCGACAAAGGGTTTCCAGCGTCAACTTCCCATCAGCCTCGTTATTTGGGGCGCACATAGCGTCCTCACAGGGCTCAGCTCCCCGCAGAGTGGTGCCTTCCGGATTCCCCCTAACTCTTCATTTCACAAATGGGGAAACAAGGGGCCAGCACTGTGGCGTAGCAGGTAAAGCCACTGCCTGCCATGCTGGCACCCCATATGGCCGCCGGTTCAAGACCGGCTGCTCCACTTCCGATCGATTTCTCTGCTATGGCCCGGGAAAGCAGTAGAAGACGGCCCAAGTCCTCAGGCCCCTGCACCCATGTGGGAGACCTGGAAGAAGCTCCTGTCTCCTGGCTTCGGATCGGCTCTGCTCCGGCCGTTGCAGCCATTTGGGGAGTGAACCAGCAGATAGAAGACTTTCTCTCTCTCTCTCCCTCTCTGCCTCTCCTTCTCTGTCTGTGTAACTCCTGCTTTCAAATAAAAGAAATAAATCTTTTTTTAAAAAAATGTGGAAACAATGCAGAAAAAGGGAGGGACTGACCTGAGGGCCCAACCCCCTTACCGACAACCCAGTGACGAGAACCGGATTGAGCCTCTGCCTCGTCTCCCTGGCAACGCCCACCTTTGGCCAGGCCCTGGTGAGGGCCAACCCTCTCATCCCGGGCACCTGCTGGTACTCGGTCCAGGAGTTCATTCCCCAGCCCTCACTGGGGGGCCTGTCCCAGATGAGCACACCCCTGTGAGCTTCAGTCCTGCCCTCCGCACGCTTCCTGAGGCTCAGGCACCTCTGCTTGAAATCCAACCGCGGGGCAGAGCGGGAGCCCAGCGCCGAAGCAGGAGCCGCCGCGTCCCCTTGGCCTCTGCCAAGCAGGGCCGGGCTTCTGCTGCACAGCTGCACCCTGTTCTGGAGCTGGAGCTCAAAGCCCACTTCTGCCTGGCCGGGGGTGAAGCCGGGCCTGCGGTGAACGGAGAGCTGTTGGGGTGGGGACAGCACAGAGGAGCGGGCGTCCTGGCCTCTCGTCTCTCGGCAGGCAGGACCCAGCGAGCAGGTTCCACGCTGGGCAGCTGCCTCGCGGGGATTCTTGGGCTGCCGTACGGCCAGGGAGAGTCTGCAGTCTAACGCTTCTTGTCCCTTTAAGAACAGGGGACACAGGACGCCTCGACCCCTTCGCTCAGGGCTGGGCCCTGACTGTCACTCACAAGGGGGAACCAAAGACCCTGTGGGGCCCTGGCGGCCAGAAGCCCGCGCGTCCCTGCCTTCTTCTATCCTCGTCATGTTGGCTGCTCCACACCGAGACGTCAGAGCCAGGTTACTGTGGTCTCCCCTGCAAGCTTGTTTCCGACGATTCCCAAATCGAGTGCCCTCCAACCCGCTAACGCGCAGCGCGGTGGACAGCAAGGGGTCCTCCTGTGTGACCACGACAACACGCGTGTGGTCAGAGACCGCCTCTTCTAGCACCCGCCTGATACATCGGGGAGCGCGTGGAGTCTCTCAGCCCCCTGGGCAGGACCTCCTTCCCCTTGGCTGCTGACCCCCAGGTGGCTCCCAGGGGTCCTCACTGGGTATTCAGGAGACGTTAGCTCAGTCTGCAGCTAGACCTGTGGGGCAGGCATCGGGCACAGCCACGAAGCCGCTGCCTGAGACACCGCGTCCCCCTCCAGAGTGCCTGGGTTTTAGACCCAGCTCCGCTTCGGATTCCAGCGTCTTGTTCACTGCACACTCTGCCAGGCAGCGGGGCTGGTTCAAGCCGTTGGGGCCCTGCACCCAAGTAGCAGACTTGGCTTCTGGGATCCTGGCTTCAGCCTGGCCCAGCCCTGGCTCTTACAGGCAATTGACAAAAAAAAAAAAAAAAAAAAAAAAAAAAAAAAGTGGTAAATGAGAAGAAAACAAACCTCTGCCTCTTTTAAATAAACAAAAGCATTTTTAAAAAAATATCAATAAACTAGACTTTAGTCGTGCAGTTCCTAGTCCAGTGCTTTGTCTTCTACACCACTCCACTTGCCCTTGAACTTGGTCACCTGCAACTATGTCAAGGCCAGGACCCACCTCCAGAGACTCAAACGGAATCGGCCCGGGGTCTGGCCTGGGCATGGAGATTCTGTAAAACCCCCGGTGGTCCTGTGTGCACGCCGCGGGCGCTGTTCCAGATCACGCCGCTTCAGCGGAGAAGGGAACCGGTCTCGTGCCGCTGGTGCCTTTCTTCCCAGACCCGAGCTTCCGGGGCCAGGTCGGGAGGAAGACGCAGAGTCCCTCAGCTCCCCCCTGGAGATGAGTTACCCTCCCCCACTTTCAACACACACAGCAAAGGACAAGCTTTGGCGATCAAGGTAAATGTCCAATTTATTTTTATAACTTGAAACCAGAACCAACTTGGTTTTGAACAAGCGTACAAATGAAATGGGAGACACATGCTGAACTCAACATTGTGACATTAAGGGGGAAAAGAGGCCCAAAATCTTGTACAGAGAATAAAAGGAACAATAAATATTTTTACTAAGCCATATTGAAATGACCCCCTGTCATCTCAACATTTTATCCATAATAAAAAAAAAGTGCCCGTTTTTTAAACAAAGCACAAATACCAAGCAATAATAAATAGTTCCAAACTTGTAGTAAAAGACAAACCTCCAAGTAAACAACAGAAGCTCATTCAATAAGTAATAGAAAAGGTAATAAAAATATTTCGCCTTGCCAGTACAAATGCAAACAACTTAGATCAATGGAACTTGGCTTTGCCGGGCCGAGATACAAAGAAGCACCAAAATCACAGGTTTGCCGCGGTCAGCACAGCCTTCGACCGCCGGGGACCAGGACCGGAGGAAAGACGCATTTCCTCACTTTTCACATTTTGCTTAGACTAACGCAGTCTGCTCCTCTCCCCACGAAAGACCCTCGAATGGCAAGCGGCAGGTTCCCAGTTGGGGCAGCTTTGGGCAGAGTTGTGGCAGTGCGGAATCGGCCCGAGCTCGGCGGGGTGGCCGACGCCGGAGGGCCGGAGGGCCGGGCCGGGTGCTCAGGCTCAGGTGCACAGCACCGGACACAGGCAAGCTGCTCTCCCTGCAGGCGCCGCAGGCACCCAGCCCGTGCCTCGGGATGGCTTAGTCCTGGCGATTCTGGGTGAGCTGGTGGGCGCTGCTAGCCTCTCACCCTACATGGGCACCGCCGCGGAGGCTGTGCAGGGCCCCCCGGGGCTTCCACGGGGGAGGGCGGCCCCTGGGTATTCAGGTCCAGCGGGTGGGAGGCCGGAACCCCGGATTCGGCTCCCACCTCCTCCCCTCCCTTCTCCCTTTGCAAGGGTGAAGTGGCAGGAGCTAAACGCTCATCCCACAGAAGAGCGCCCAAAAGTTAAAGGACTGCCTCCAAAGGATGCTGGGAAAATAATGGTTTCTGACATTTCCTGAAATAAAAAATGGCTTCCTGATATACGTATTTAAAAAAAAAAAACGTATTATTCCCTCATCCAAAAAAAATCACCATTATCTTAAAGCTACTTGGCTTTACACACAGAAAAGGGGAGTGGGGGAGGAATGAAGGAGAAAGAAGAGGAGTCAAATGCAAATGGGAAGAACAGAGAGAGGACACACAGAGGCTGGGGGCAGGGGGACGGCAGAGGAGGAGGTAGGGGAAGGCACGGGAGGCAGCCCAGGCCCTCAAGGACGCAGGGGGAGAAGCAGCAGAGCAAGGCAGAGCAGAGGCCGCCGACCGGCCTGGCAGGGTCTCCCTCCGGACACGGACACGCCACCTGCCTGGTCTCACGGCGCTCGCCCCACGCCTCCCGCACCTTCTGGTCCTGCAGCTGGGTGTGCCGCTCTCTGCCCCCAAGGGCGGGAGGTGCTGGTGGGGCAGGGAGGGCACCTCTGTCTGGCTGCCTCCTCCGGTGCACCCGGCCTCTCGGAGCGAGGGAGACTCCGAGGGATGGAACCGACATCCTTCCACCCCACACGGACGGAGAACTGCCCATCCGGCCTGCTGCGGCCACACCGAGGAGCCTTGATGCAAGGTTCGGGGCGTTCGGAGCCAAGCCCGCCGGAGCCGATTCCGACAAAAAAACACAGGGCTGAGACGACTGGTGAACCGAGCGCGGACACCTTCCTCGTGTCCCTTCTCAGGGCGTCAGACAACCCTTGCTCTCCTGCACAGTAGGGCTGGACATACAAATTTTTTTTTTTGCAATATTTTATCCTGCCAAATTAAAAAAATATATTATGGCAGCCTGTTTGTTTTTGTTTTTTTTTTCTTTTTATTTCCAAATTCACTAACAAAAAGGTACATTAAATCCCTTTAAAAGGACAAGCTTACAGTTAAAAAATTACAAGCTCCAGTAAAAATACAGCAAGTGCCTACATCATATGAACCAACCAATATATCCATTCCAGAGGGAGGAGGGAGAGAAAAATAAGTTCAGGGCAGAAATGTGATTTTTTTTTCTGCAAAGCAATAACAATATTAAGCACTTTTTTTCTACATACTTTTTCTACATGGTGTAGCAATCCCCTTTGAATCCCCAAATACAAGTTTCTATACATTTTTTTTTCCGAAATAAAAATTCAACACCCAAGGCAGAAAAAAATTTACTAAAACTCCGACTTTACAGTTACTGTGACAAGAACAAATTTATAGACCCACCATTTAAATTTTACTGCAACATTTTCAAGGAAAAGAAAAGTTTTTTTTCTTGTTTTGTAAAATGCCCAGGCATTCTCGATTATTACAAATACTGGTCCACTTTTACAGTAATCAAGAAATTTTAATATATATAATATATACTAAAACCCCGTCACCAAAAGAAAACAATATACACGCAGCCGCTGTGGCATTTTGTATAACCTAGTAAGCAAACTTTGAAAAAAAAAATGATCGCTCCAACACACATACACACAATTTTTTTTACCCTTGTATGTATCCAATACTGTAAACGTATTTTTAAGACAGAGTGCACTAAATTTAACTTTAGAAAAAATTAGCCGTTGTTCCTGAATTGTTTTTATTTTCATTCAACGATAGCAACATGTAAGTTCAGCAGTAAGTTACCTCCGCTCCACATCTAAGCAGCGTTGTCCCAAATGCAAAAGGGGTTGTGTACAGTTCAGCTCGCGATGTCCAAGGTTGTGCTGGGTTTATTTCTTCATTTGATTGGGTCTTCTATGGCATTTTCATGTCCTCTCTCTTCAACCAGGATTTTTTTTTTTAATTTAAAGTAAATGTGGCTTTTCTCGTTTTACTTTTTTAAAAAGTCCTTTCATTTCAAAAAAAAAAAAATTTTGCATTTGTCTCAAGAGACTCGGATAGGAAGATCAGTTTTCAAGGCACTCACGTCAGATTGGGTGGCAGCAGAACTGTCCAGCAAGTAACTTGATTTTGTTCTTTATAGTGCCAGCATTGTGAATGCCACGCTTAGCAACACTGACACTCAATCTCGCTGTCCCTTAGAGTTCAACCCACCTCTGGGCCAAAGAGAAGAATATGTTGCAATTTCTTGTTTAGAAGCCATTGAATTTAAATGCAAACAAAAGCTTTTAAAGTGCGGGTCAACAGAATCCAAATGTCTAATCTTAACAGTCCAATGCTGAGCTCCTTCCAACCTAACGAGAGGGGGAAAACTGGGAAGCAGCGGGGGGCCCCAGTGGCGGGGTCTCTCCCCTTGCTCTTCCGGAGAAAGGGCAGAAATTCCTAGGGTTCCTCCCCCTGTCCCTGCAGCCCGGCCAGCTCAGTGTGCACCGACTGCCTCCCCTGGCTACCAGGCCACGTGACTTCCCGGCAAAGGATCGGCCACCACTGCTGGCACCGTGGGACATGGGGCTTCCGTGGTGGGAGTTGGGGGAGAGGGCCTGTGGGGCCAGAAGTGGCCAGAAAGAACTCACTTACAGGCCACTGACCCACAGGGGGCCGGGCCGTGGTTTGGCCTCCCCTGGGGCACAGAGCAGAGAGGGCACCCAGGACAGCATCTGTGGGCAACACCCAGCTTCAGACCCCTCTCCGCCCGCCCCCCCCGTGGTGGTGGTGGGGGGTGCTGAGTTTGGGGTGCCGCCCCCCAAGTTTCCCTTACAGAACGGTGAGAGCTGAAGTGAACACAGAAAAGGCCTCTGTGAGTCGGAGCTCCTGGGCTGCGCCTCCATTCCACTTCTGAAACAAAGTGCTACAACGTTAGGGATTGTTATCCGCTGACATGCCCCCAAAACGAAACAAAACAAAAGGCAGAAACCGCATGCCACATTTCATTTCAGGCCAAAAAAATGTAAAAAGGAAGGAATAAAATAGTAAACAACTTCAAAATCGTTGAAGTGTTGGCTTCTTCACAAGAAATTACACATGCTTAGCTTAAATCTCAAAAAAGCAGCGCCCCTACCCCAAATTATAATTTAAAACATTCGGCTCCCTCCACACTGCTTGCGAGTCATTGCTCAGGCTACTACGGGGTTTGTTTGTTTTAAAAAAAAAAAAAAAAAAAAAAAAACGAAGAAGGGACGGATACCCAACAAAATTTCTTAAAGGAATTTAAACAGAAGAGAATAATAATTAAAAAAAAAAGTACCTGCACATGCCAAAAAAAAATTACAAAACCCAATAAATACAGAAATTATTGCACAGTTAAAAGGCTCCACAATGTTCAGTGCCTCCATCAACCCTCGGGTCTCCGTGCGACTTGGCAGACACGGGTCGGGCGCGCGCGCGGGGCGGCGGGCGCGCAGGTGCGGGGCGCACGGGCGCGCGCGCGCGCCTGCGCTCAGCTGCGCTCGGCCTGCTCGATCTTGACGTCGTTCGTCAGCAAGTGCTCGCCGTGCCACTTCTTCATGTGTTTCTCCAGGGTGCTGTAGACGCTGAAGGGCATCTGGCAGATGTCGCAGCGGTACACCTCCTTGCCGATCTGCCCGTGCGTCTTCATGTGGCGAGTCAGCTTGCTGCTCTGCGCGCACGCGTAGTTGCACAGCTCGCACTTGTAAGGCCGCTCGCCCGTGTGGCTGCGGCGGTGCACGGTGAGGTTGCTGCAGTTCTTGAACACCTTGCCGCAGTACTCGCACGTGTCGCTCCGGCGGCCCTCCTTGGAGCTGGGCCGCCCGGGGCCCGGGCCGCCCAGGTGCGGCGTGCTGCCGCCGCTGGCCGTGCCGCTGCGCCCGGACAGGCCGCCGTCCAGCAGGTCCCCGGGCGGCGTGGAGAAGCGCAGGCTGCCGTTCTCGGACGAGTGCTCCGACGACGTGGCGAAGGGCGACTGGCGCGCGTCGGTGAAGCCCAGGAAGGGGTCCTTCATGAAGTGGCGCGACGCGGCGTAGCCCACGAGCCACTGCGAGTACACGTTCTCGGAGGGGATGAGCGCGGCGGGCGGCAGCTCCAGGTCCTTCTCCACCTTGATGCGCTTGGCCGCGCTGTTGAGCCCGGGGCTGGGCAGCGGCGCGGGCTTGCGCGGGAAGAGCCCCGGGAAGGGCTCGGCGGCCGCCGGCGCGAAGCCGCCCCCGCGCCCGTTGACCGCGCCGCCCGCGCCCGCGTCGCCCGCGTCGTCCTCGCCGCCGCCGCCGCCGCCGCCGGGGTCGCCGCCCGCGCCCACCGCGCGCTTCAGGAAGGCGCCGCGCTTCTGCTTGTCGGCCAGCAGCTCCCCGTAGGGCGGCGGCAGCGCGCCCAGGCCCACGTTCTCCATGACCTTGCCCAGCACCAGCGCCTTCTCGTCGGCCAGCGCCTTGGCCGCGCCGCCCGCGCCCGGCAGCCCGGGCCCGCCGCCCGCGCCCAGCCCCGCGCCCAGCCCCGCGCCCAGCGCGCCGCCGCCGCCGCCGCCGCCGTTCTCCCGGTTGCGGCTCAGCTCCGAGTCCATGCTGAAGCTCGACTCGGGCCGGCTCTCGTTCTCCAGCAACAGCTCCTCCTCCTCCTCCTCCTCCTCCTCGTCCTCCTCCTCGGGCTCGGGGCCCAGCGACGGGTCGCTCTCGTGGTGGCGGAAGTCGCCGTCGGCCGCCTTGAGCGCGTCGCCCGCCAGCTCGCTGGTGCCGGGCTCGGGCGAGCTGGCGGCCGACAGCCCGTCGTCCGAGCGCCCGGCCAGCGAGCCCGCCTTGTGCATGTGCGTCTTCATGTGGCGCTTGAGCTTGCTGGCCTGCGAGCACGCGTGGTCGCACAGCTGGCACTTGTAGGGCTTCTCGCCCGTGTGGCTGCGGCGGTGCACGATCAGATTGCTCTGGAACTTGAACGTCTTGCCGCAGAACTCGCACGACTTGCTCTTGGCCGGCGGCTGCGGCGGGGGCGTGCCGCCGGGGGGCATGGGCGGCAGCGGCGGCGTGCCGAGGAACGGGGACTTGGGGCCGGGCTGGAAGGGGTTCAGGAGCCGGTGCATAGGGTTGCCGCGGCCTGGCGACACGGGTGGCGGCGTGGAGCTGTTGCCCGCCAGCTCGCGCAGCCGCCGCGAGAAGTCCATGGCGGGCGAGTCCATGGCCATGGGGTTCAGGCGCATGACTCGGTCGAAGGCACTGGGGTGCTGGGCCACGAGCCCCATCTCCTCGGCGCTCAGGCGGTGCGCGTCCAGGTGGTGGCGCGGCGGCGGGCTGAAGAGCGGCGGCGTGCCGGGCAGGCGGCCCTCGCCGAAGCCCGGGTGCTCGCGCAGGATGGGGCCCGTCATGCGCAGCAGGTTGAAGGGGTTGCTGTCGCCCAGGAAGTTCATGAGGGGCGACTGCGCCACGGCCTCGGGCCCCAGCGGCGGCGGGATGGTGAGCCGCGGCGTGAGCGAGCTGCTGGCCGGCCCGGGCTCCAGGTAGATGCGGAAGCCGTGCGTGTTCTGCGCGTGCTGCAGCAGGAACCACGCGCTGGTGAAGGGCTGCTTGCATGTTGTGCAAATGTAGCTGGAAGGCTCATCTTTACCTGGGGAGACACGCGGAGAGCAAGGTCAGAGAGGCCGTGAGTCGCGGCAGGGGGGCGCAGGGGGGCGCAGGTGGGCGGGTGGGTGGGGCCGGGTCCTCACCTGGCGCACAGGCCGCCTGGGACTACGCCTGGGCCTAGCCTCTCCAGGTGGGGGCCTTGCATCCTCTGGGTGTCTGGGAGGTGCCTGACCCGGTATAAAAGACCAGCGGGTGCACTGAGCCATCCGGGCCCCTGTGTGTGTGGAACCACCTGGACCACATGGACTGGGTGGGCCTCTGGTGGAGTCCTGGGGGCTGTCCCGTGCCACCTGGGATGCACAGCAGGACTCCAGCCTGCACCTGCTGGGTGCCAGCAGTACCCTCTGTCCCTGGTCACCAGGGCTGGACATTTCCAAGCAGCGCTCCCCACCCCCACCGGAAGGGGGCAGGGCAAAATCCCAGCCCCTGAGAACCTCTGCTCCGGCCACTTCTGAGTGGAGGAAGCTTTACAAAAACACGAACTTTGTTCCGTGAGACTTGGCTGGGAATCCAGCGGTAGGATGGTCTAGGGAAACCCTAGAACCCGGGCCAGGGTCTGCGGGGAAGACGGCACCCCCACCCCGTGTCCTGCACACAGCCCAGGCACCCTCCCTCACCCCCTGCAGAGGGCCCTGGCACTGCCAGCTCGCGGAGGAATGAGAGGACGCGTGCGGTCTGACAGGCAGGCGCCGTGAGCAGCGGCAAATGTTGCTGCATTCGAAACTGGCAGCAAATCGCGGTGGACACGGGGGGCGTGTGGCCAGAATGTCACGGTCTCTGGCACGTCGTGGGGCAGGCACAAAATGGAGGCTGAACATTACACCCGGAACCCTGCTCGCGGCAGCCCTCCTCAACTCTGGGTGATGGCGCGCGCTCCAGCCCGAGCCACTCCTAGTGCTTTACAGGACAGACAGGTGTGGGCAGGCCCTGTCTTCCAGCACCAGATTCACCGGCCGGGAAGCCAAGGGAGGGAACGGCATCCCGGCTCAGCCCCAGGACAAGATGCCGACTCTTCTGTCTTTCCAAACTTTCCCGGACCTGGACACTGGACACTCCCTGGTGAGGCCAGCATGCAAACCTACCCCTACCCCGTACTGGGAAGGTGATGGGCCAGGGGGCACACAGGGCCTCTGAGACCCCGTGCAGACCGCCTGCCTCTGTTGTCCATGCACTAACTGCGTTCAAGGGCTGCCCCCTTAGCGGTGTTCAGAGGCACAGGAACCGCCGTGTGCACAGCAGCCTTAAGGACCAGGTGCCCTGCGTGCCGCCCAGTTTCTGAAGAGCCAGGACCCCAGGGGACATGGGGGGGGCGTAGCAGAGGGGGCTTCCTGCTGTCCCCTGGGGAAGAGCTGGAGCCACTGCCCAGGACCAGGGACCCAGCCACACCTCTGGTGCTACACAGGGGTCATGTCGCCCTCTGTCCTATGTTGTGTCTGTGTTTGCTGTCTCGATGACAGGAGATGGGCAGCGGGACAGAAATGAAGTTTTTTCTGAAGTTGCGGCGGGCAGGGGGTCTCTGCCCAGGGCGTCTGGGGCATCTTGCTCACACCAGTTCCCCACGCGGAAGCACCCGAGGGGCGTCCCCCCACCTCCAAGGGGGCAGGGAGCCCCTCCACGTGCCTGGCCGCCCTGACGCCCACCAGGCCCTGACCCTCACAGCAGAGCCACCAGCTGCCCCGTTCACACCTCTCCTCCCGTGTTTTAGGGCAAAGCAGAATAAATTAACCACCAAAAGGACGACAGATCCCTTTCCTATCCGTCCTGCAGGGCCGTGGGTCTGCGCCCTGACCTGGGCCGCCCCCCTACCACCCACCACTCTGCTCTGGCCACCTCCCCTCCCCCGCCTCTTCCTCACCACCTTCCTCTCCCTTGATCTGCAGCCACACGTTTTCTAGAAAGTTCTGTGGCTGGAGGAATGTGGCTATCAGGCAAACGCAGAACCCGCAGGCAGGCCAGGAATGAAGCCTGCTCTTCAGCCGAAATGGCAGATTTTTTTTTTTTTTACTCAAAATGGCATCTGCCAGGAAACATGTAACTGCATGTCTGAAAGAGCATGATGCTTCCACTTCTTGTAACAGAAAAAGATCCTCCTAAAAGGCTGGCTTGGAGCGCGTGGGCCGGGTCACTGGCCGCTGTGTTCACTCACGGGGTCGGATTTCAGGGCCGGGCTGGGCAGAGGGGCCCCTGAAAGACCCCCCTGGCCACAAAGGCCCCCCTGGGGACTCCCGCCACCCCTCCCCCTTTCCTCCTCACTGGCCTGTCAGCACTGCACGGCTACCTGTGCTAGGACCCTCAGCAGTGTCAGAAACCTCGGAGAGCCACCCGGAACATTTTTCTTCCACTAGAAAACTCGCCGAGAGGTCTGAGCACACGACACAGTCACAGACGGCTCGGGGAGCGGGCTTCCGGGGATGCGGGGCCGGCCCCTTCCCGGGGTGACACTCGGCCTGGCTGCCACCCCCCCGGGAGCTCAGGGTCTCCTGCCCGCCGCGCTGCTACTGGCTGAAGGCGCCAGTTCTGGGTTGCTTCGAAGTGACTCAGCCAGCAGTGTGAACCCGGCCAGGTTTTGCTAGCTGAGTCACAGCGGGCAGCTGGAACCAGGGCCTGCTGCCTGCGCCCCCCTCCTCCATTGGAGACCCCTCCCCGAAAGCCCTCGCTCAGGAGCTCCCTGGAGGGCGGCCTGGGTTCCGGCTCTGCCTCGAGGCTCCCAGAAGGATGAAGCCAGTCAAGTAAATGCAGCCGCGAGCCTTGATTTTCTCATCAGTAGAATGGGAGCGAGGCACCTGCCTCCAGAGGGGGAGATCCTGCCCCTACAAATGATTCCCTTTGGTTTTTGTTATCCACCCTTGAACCTGGCCCTGGGTGCTGGTGGGGGCCTGTCAGGCGGACTCCGGCAGGACCTGAACCGGGAGGAATCGCAGCACAGCGGCCTCGTGCCCGCCAGGTTCCAGGGAGGCAGAAACCTGCACCGTGAGGAAACCTCATTTTTTACGATGACGCTCGGGACGCGGCAGGCAACTGAACTCCAATAAACGCTGCTCTCTCTGCCACAGGCTTTTCTTTAACGAGCATTTAAATGATTGCTCCTCCTCGTTACGCCGGCTGCACTAATAACACCAATAAAGGTATCGGGGATATTTAATAAAAAACACACCTTAACTGAATTATTAGTCAATGGAGACTGCCCCTGCGCAGGGGCTGGGTCGGAGTGCGGCTCCGGCACGGCCAGCCCACGGCCACAGAGCACTCTACAGCCGGCTTGGCGCTTGCACCAGCGCTCACCGCGGCCTCTGAGCGGGGCCGGGCAAGGCTGCAGTCCTGCCAGCACACCAGGAGCTGGGAGCTGCGTCCCACAGCCAGAAGGGCAGGGCCTCGCCCCTCTGGGGCCATCCTGAGCCCAGCAGGACCCCCACCGACCTCCCAGCACAGAGCACACACCCCACGGGGTGGGGCGGGAACCTGTCCTCCTGTGTGCACTGGGCAGCGCCTGATCCACAAAGCAAACGGCCAGGCAAGGGGTCTTCCCCACGCCCTCTACGCGTCCCTCGAGGGAAGCGCTCTGACGATGCTCGGATGGAACCCGCTCGGGTCTGCCAGGGGCCTCCACCCCGGACAGAAAACAGGAGGCATTTCCAGACCCAGCTGCAACCCGCTACCTGGGAGGCCTGGTCACGGGGCGGTGAGACGCCACAGTGGCCGAATTCAGGGGCAGGACGCTGGAACCCAGGGTCCCTTCCCTCTCTGGGGTGCCCAGTATCCAAGGACAGGGCTGGTTTCACCATCTGACCACTTGGTCCTCTCTTGAATCTATGGCTGCTGGCAATGCTGTCCCCACAGTTCCAAAATGATGACCACTGTTGGCCCTCAGCCGTGTAGACCAGTCACTGTGGACCCTCAGCCATGTAGACCAGGCGGTCACTGTGGGCCCTTGGTCGTGTGGACCTGGCGGTCACTGTTGGCCATCAGCCATGTGGCGGTCACTGTGGGCCCTCGGCCATGTGGTGGTCACTGTGGGCCCTTGGTCGTGTGGACCAGGCAGTCACTGTGGGCCCTCGGCCACGTGACCAGGCGGTCACTGTTGGCCATCGGCCATGTGGCGGTCACTGTGGGCCCTCGGTCGTGTGGACCTGGCGGTCACTGTTGGCCATCGGCCATGTGGCAGTCACTGTGGGCCCGCGGCCATGTGGACCTCCTACTCATTTAGACCGCCCTCCTTTGCAGGACATCAGTTGGGCACCCCCAGGGTGGGCGTCAGTTCCGTGTTTATATCCTCCCTCTGCAGGGTCATCTGCAAAATCCACAGGCAGCCCTGCTTGCTCCCAACGCGCTGCAGCCCCCAGCCCCCCCAGACAGTAGGCACAACAGTGGTGGCAACAAGGACCCCGTACAAAACCCTAACCCAAGCCAGGTTCTGAGCTGAGTGCCCAAGGACCACACACAACACTCCCAACAACCCATTCAACAGATGAGCAAACTGAAGACTGAAGAGAAGGTTCTACCCAAGACACAGGCACTTGGCACCTCCCGCCACACTGACCACAGCCGGGTGGGACACTGAGGCCGGCCCTGGGAGCTGGGGCGGGAGGAAGGTGGCCGCGTGTGCCTGCAACGCACACCCTCTGCTCCCGCCTGCGGCCAGGGCGCTGTGAGCCGTGCTGCAGTGGGCTAGAAGCGCAATCACATGGTGAAATCACGTTAACCAGCAACGAGAATGGGCAGACGTGGTGTACCCAGGAGAGTCTTCAAAACACGCGGCCCAGAGGATGTCGGTGCTGCCGGTGGCCACGGTGGCCCCATAAGCTAAGAATAAACAGTCCCCAAGCAAGGATGGGCTGACAAAGGCTCCGTCCACCAGAGCCACTGCCCCTACTCAAGCACCCGTGGCAGACATTGCCAATCTATCCCCGCACTCCCGCGGCAGGCCTCGGCAGCTCTGCGCTCCAGGCAGCCACTGCCAGTGAGAGTCTGACTGTCTCTGTGCTGTCTTGGGTCTGGGGGCTCAGGAAGTCTGGGAAATGGGGGTCCAGCACGGACGGGAGTAAACTCAGCAGCACATCGACGTAGAGCTGCCTTTCTTTTTTGTTTTGCTTTGGAGTTTTCTTTTTTTTTTTTTTTTTTTAAGATTTTTTCATTCATTTGAAAGGCAGAGCGACAGAGAGAGGAAGAGACAGAGAGAGGGTGTGTCCACTGGTTAACTCCCCAAATGGCCTCAACAGCCAGGGCCAGGCCAAAACTAGAGTCCACACACTCGGCTCATCTGCTGCTGCCTGGATCGGAAGTGGAGCGGCCACCCTCCTAACCCGGGGTCAGCACTGTGATCCGGATGCTGGAGTTGCAAGCGGTGGCTTAACCTGCTGCGCCACACCCCAGCCCTAGTGCACTGAACAGAGAGGACCCAGGCCCCCGTCACTGCTGGGGAGACACTCACCTTCCGGGGTGGGGCTGGGGGACACCTAATAACCTCTCAGGGGTGTAATGAAAAGTGTGAAGGATGGTCAGGTGCTGGGAGACGGAAGAATTCAAGGGGGGGGGGGGTGTTGGAACCTGCATGAGGCCAGCGTCTTGGCTGCAGGACCCCGTTGAGCCCCCACACCGCGGCCCTTTAACAGAGAAGAGAAGTAAGCTGCTCGAGGGCACACTGCTGGCCTTGGCCTTGTTTTCCCTATGCAGGGTCCGCCCTGGGCAGGCCCAGCCCCCGGCAGTCACGCCCACAGACGTCCCTGGGCACCGTCAGTGGCCCACAGTGGGACAGTCTTCTCAGCCATCTGCCAGCAAGAGCTCCCTTTGGAGCTGGGACGCTGGGACCAAGGGGCTGGACCTCACGGAGCTGCGGGCTCTGATCCGGGTAGTGGACACGCACCTGCCTTCACGGGGCTGGACCTCACAGAGCTCCGGGCTCTGATCTGGGTGGTGGACATGCACCTGCCTTCACGGGGCTGGGCCTCACAGAGCTCCGGGCTCTGATCCGGGTAGTGGACACGCACCTGCCTTCATGGGGCTGGGCCTCACAGAGCTCCGGGCTCTGATCCGGGTAGTGAACACGCACCTGCCTTCACGGGGCTGGGCCTCACGGAGCTCCGGGCTCTGATCCGGGTAGTGAACACGCACCTGCCTTCTCGGGGCTGGACCTCACGGAGCTCCGGGCTCTGATCCGGGTAGTGGACATGCACCTGCCTTCTCGGGGCTGGACCTCACGGAGCTCCGGGCTCTGATCCGGGTGGTGGACATGCACCTGCCTTCTCGGGGCTGGGCCTCACAGAGCTCCGGGCTCTGATCCAGGTAGTGGACACGCACCTGCCTTTATGGGGCTGGACCTCACGGAGCTCCGGGCTCTGATCCGGGTAGTGGACACGCACCTGCCTTCTCGGGGCTGGACCTCACGGAGCTCCGGGCTCTGATCCGGGTAGTGGACACGCACCTGCCTTCTCAGGGCTGGGCCTCACAGAGCTCCGGGCTCTGATCCGGGTAGTGGACATGCACCTGCCTTCTCGGGGCTGGACCTCACAGAGCTCCGGGCTCTGATCCAGGTAGTGGACACGCACCTGCCTTCACGGGGCTGGACCTCACAGAGCTCCGGGCTCTGATCCGGGTGGTGGACATGCACCTGCCTTCTCGGGGAGCTTCACAGTGTGGGGATCATCTAGCGTCGCAAAGTGCCCAGGCTGGGGCCCCACGCAGCAGGTGCTGGGTGCACAGGAGGGGCACCCATGCCCTGCGCCTGCCACTCTGCGATCGGTGTGTTTCACAGCCATCAGCACGAGGACGAGGGCATGTGTCCCGCCCCAGGTGAGCTGGACCCAGCGCCGTGCCCTCCACCCCAGGCTGCCCCAGGCAGGGCTGAGTGCAGCAGAAGAGCCCCCGCGCTGCCCATGACTCCCCACAGCTGTACGCCATACAGCTCCCGAGCAGTGCCGGCGTCCCGGGTGACCACGGAACCAAGACATCTCCCGCCGCCTCCGCCACAGCCCACCCCAGCACCAGCGTCTCCCCACGTCACAGAGCTCCCGGAATCAGCCCGCTGCACTCCCCACCGGGTCCCCTGTCTCAGGGCCATGCACTGTCACACCTCCGTGCCCGACCAGGACTACTCCTGCTGCCTGAACATCTGCCTGCTCACGTCCAGCTCACGCCTGAGCCCCCCTGAAGGCCCAGGCCACCCGGTCCAGATTGCTCCGCACCAGTGGTCACCCTTTGCCCTTAGCTCTGTGTGCTCCGCTCACCCACAGCCTGTGTGTGCCATGGCCTCTGCTCTCAGGGGGACACTCCTCGCCACCTTAGAAAGTGGGTTTTAACCCAGATTTTCTTTAAAAAGAGAGAGAGAGAAAGGAAGGAAAGAAACTGTCAGCCAGTCCCCAGTGGAGTGCGAAGCCCAAGGTCACAAAGTTTGTAAGTGGCAGAGCCAGGGACACATCCCACCCTCCTAACCCGGGGTCAGCGCTGCATGGGGACACACAGCAGGCTGCCCCTCACACCGGGGCTGCCAGAAAGCCACGCCCCATGTTCCCACCTGCACCTGCCAAGCCCCAGCTGCAGGAGGAGGCCTCACTCACCTCCCAGGATTCATGACCACCCATCTACCCGGAGGGATCCATGCAGCCGAGGTCAGCCGCCAGGCTTCACCCGCCCAGCGTTACCCGAGGCTGGGGAGGGGCCCAGGGACCCCGGCCTACAGCCCTCGCTGCAGCCTCCACCAGAGCCCCGGCACCGCCCACGACCGCCGGGCCTGCACGAAATGCCAGCAGGCCTGGAGCCCCTCGCTGGAAGAGGCCCAGTGGGGGCTGGGGAGACACAGCGGAAGCAGGAGGAAGCATGCGTGGAGGCGACCTCCAAGATGAACAAGCAGAGCTGGAGGAGCCCGGGGGAGGAGGGCGGGCCCGCAAGGTGGGGCTGACGTGGGAGCACATGTGGGCTACAGGCTGCCTGGCCACGCTGGGCAGACAGCACTTCTGTCTGCTGCAGGACAGGGCCGGTCAGGGCAAACGGGAGATCAGCCACTTCTGGCCGGAGCTCCACAGGGCCCGCGCGTCCACCGGGTACAGGCCGCCCCTCAGCACTTGCATTGGTTCGCTCCTCCCCCTACAGACACAGAAGTCTCTGCTCCAGGCCACGGCCGCTGAGCAGAAGGGCACACAGGGGAGCCTGCGGTCCAGCACTGGCAGTGTCTAGGATGGGCCAGGCCGCCCTGCCACACGCTGGGCCTGGGGGAGGGGAGACGGACAGCCAGGGCAGCGGGAGGTGGGGGGGCGTCTGTCCTGGGGGGCAGGGAGGGCGTTGCCCAGCAGAGGAAACCACAGGCCTGGAGGCACGGAGGCGGCACCCTGAGTTCAGAGCGGAGAACACCAAAGGCGAAACCCCCAGGAGGCTCAGGCTCTGAGAACCTGCCAGGAGCCGCGGACGGCCCAGAGAGCGCGTTCCAACGGCTGCGTTTGCACAGCGGCCAGACGTCCACCTCAGGAAGGCAAATGAGCATTTCCCAGAGCCTTCTCAAAGCCAGGAAGCCTTTGGAGCAACAACCTGGGTGCAGCGGAAGGTGGAGCCCTCGGAGAGCAGCCCTCCGACCGGCGCGCCTGCGGGGCCGGCGCCCACACTCCGCGGAGCAGCTCGGCCACTCCAGCGCGCTCGTCCCAGGGGTCTCCCAGGAACAGCAAGGTCTGGGCTCTTAGCACAATGGGGTGGGGGCCTTAGAGCTGAACCCCAGCCGCAGGCCCCACGCGCCCCACACTTCCCAGAACAGCCTCGACGGCAACCGCTCAGTTCTGTGGTCAGACCAGGTGCGCAGCTCTAGGCTCAGCAAACAGCCGCCCAGCCCGCGCTCGGCAATGTGTGGGTGCAGGGTGGGAACGGCAGTGTGTGTGAGTCAGACGGGAGAGCCGGGTGGGACGCGCACGGCCCTCTCACACGGGGCGGCTCGGCTGCGGCACAAAGCACCGGGATCTGCCGGAAATACCAGGCGTCCGATGCCCTTGACCTCCACCTTCCGTGGACCTCCCGGGCAGGGCCCTCACCTTTCAGTGGGTTCTGACCGAGGAGTCCATGAGGCCTGTGCTCCCCCTTGTCCCCCCCAGACTTCCCCGAGAACACTCTAGAACCCTGCGGACGGCAACCGCGCAGAGCACGTGAAAGGGAGGCTGCGAGCCAACCCTCCTTATCACGCAGCAGACAAAGAAGGAGTGAATCAGGAAACAAACAGGCAAAAAAAAAAAAAGAAAAGAAAAGAAAAAGAAAAAAGCAAGCAGCCGGTCGCAGGTGCGCGTGCGGGTGTCGCTCACACGCGGGCCCCGAGCCTCCTGCCCGGCCGGGGGCGGGCCTTCCTCCTCCCAGGAACACAGGAAGTCTCCCTGCTCCATAATTCACGACTTCCTCCGCGAGGCAGGCCGCCATCCTTCCTTTCCTTAAATCCACAAAAATCTCCACGTCCCAGCCCAAGAAGTATGGCAGGGGCAGTAAATCTGGTTTTAATGGAGTGTACGTTTAGCTCTGCGGAGATAATTGACGTTATAGAGAGGCTGGATGCCGAGTTATATAGGTTAGCCAATGCAGAGGGGACTCGTTACCCACACACTACAAACAAGTAGTAATATATGGATATTGTTCCGAGCGGTGTTACAGCAAAAGTGTTCCGGTCCGCGGGGACTGATGAAGCACAGGAAGCGGCAGAGGCGCACTTGTAAATTTGTCTCATTTGTCCCTGAAGTTAAAGGTTATTCCCTTGTTCTGAATTTGTAATGACGACACGCCAGCCCAGGGTTTGTGGGGAATGTTTGAATATTTAAATTGTGGATAATGATAGGCAATTATGGGGTAAAAACTGGACTTCGCGTGGCAGGGGGGAGCCGCGTGGGGCCCCCTGACTGCTCCTGCTGGCGACTCCACCCTGGAGAGGGGCTGGGGCCGTACCTGGTCCCAGGGTCACCGCCTTTGCCTGCGTGAGCGGGCCCTTTTATCCTCCTTCTGCACAGCGCTTCTCTCCAACCAAGGGCCGAGGTGGAGGCGAGGGCACCCTGGGCGCAGCTGGCCAGGGCATCTGTGACAAGGCCAGCACAGGGAGCGGCCTGGGGGTGATACCTTGAGAGTTTCCTCTGCCCTCACGTGGGGTGCCCCTCTCCTCTGCCTCACCCCCCCCCAACCCAGGAGAGCAGGGGGCTGGCCGGGAGCCCCAGCTGTGTGTCCGCCGGGGCCGGGGCGGGGGAGGAGGCACCGCAGCTCCCGCGGCTGCAGCCCAGGTGCCCGCCTGGCTGCGTCCACCGTCTGCCCAGGTTAACCAACTGCAGTGTGAGACGAACTCCAGCCAGCTTGTCACGGAGCACAAAAGTCATCAGCCAGTGAATGTTCTTTTCTGCACCGCAATTAAGACGAATCAATACGACGTGCCACAAATGGTATTTTACTCTCAATAAGGACTCGGGTTGAGTTTATTCAGAATATTTTAGCGCTTCCCCGGGGGATTTTGGGCCGACGCAGATGGCAAATAAAGCACTCAGCCTAAGGCTACAGCACATTATGGTAATTCTAATGTCAGATGTACTTTAATATACAGCTCTATTTAATCACCCCATTATTTCACATTTCCATATGAAAAACCTGCGGCACTTCTGCAGCTCTCTGCCTCTGCCACGGTGCCAAGCTTCCTCCAGCCCGCTGCCGGCAGCCGGGGACGTGGTCATCGTCGCCAGGCGCAGCCGGGCAGAGCTCAAGTTTCCGGGCTCCCGGATGCGCGCCTGAGCTGCCCGCGGAGGTGAGAGCAGCAGAGGCCGGGGATGTGCCAAGCCCCACCGCAGAGGCTGCGCCGGGAGGGCCTGAGCATCCTCCCCACGCACACACAGAAATGCGGGGCACATGCATACACGCAGGGGCCCTCCCCAAGCACCGGCAGCCCCAGCGGCAAAGCCGGGCAACTCGGAGGCTTGGATGCACGCAGGCACTGGTGCTGGCCCGTGACCTGTGGGTCCTCAGCACCGTCGGCCCACCCCGGAGCACAGGATGAAAGTGTTCCAGGGCGCCAGAGGCGGGAGGCTGGGCTGGTGACAAAGGAGGTGGCACGGGGGCTGAGGAGCTGCAGCCAGGCTGGTCCTGCCCGGCTTGCACGAGGGACCCCTGAAGGCCAGATCCCTGGAGAAGCGGAAGGCCCACAGATTCCAAGTGTCTGAGCACCGCAAGGCTGGACAGCAGTCAGAGGAAGCCGGGGATTTGGCTGGGCCCAGGGAACCACTGCCACGCAGTTCACGCAAACGCTGCTGACCACCTAGTCCTCGCATTCTTGGCGACGGCTCCGCTGACCGACCCGCTGACAGCCGGCACCCGACCCTCCCAGGCACCCCAGCTGTGAGTCCCCGTGTGCAGCCACCGACGATGATTCTTGTAAATGGTGACACCGTGACGTTAAGACAGAGGCTGGCCTAGGAGCAGCCAGTTCCTAACACGAGGTCAAAACCATCTGCCACAGCAAGAGGGCGGGCGGCAGAGCTGAGACAGCCCCGGAGTGCACGGCACAAACACTGCACTGGCGTCCGTGCCCCAGTGAGCCGGCCAGGGGCTCAGCCCGGCAGAGGAGGCCAAGGGCACCGCCAGAGGAAGGGCGGGCATCTGCCTGCCTGCAGGTCCGGCTGTGACGGACAGCTCACCGCCTGCCGCCTGCACCGTTCTAACTCCCGACCCAGGGCTGTCCTCGGCCTCTAGATAGCTCGCTCTGGGGCTGGGACAATGGGGAGTCACTCTCCCTTTCCAAGGCCTTTGAGTCCACGCGGCTATTACTGCTTATCCTTAAGGCTGAAAATAGATCCTAAAAGTCCCCAGTTTGGAAAAACAGGTGAGACTAGAGGTTCTCAATTGAGCTGGCCCCACTGGGAGGCTTGGGGCAACATCTGGAGGCATTTTGGGGTGATCACAAAAGCGAGGACTCAGGGTGTCCTTAACCATGAGGGGGCAGGGGGCCAGGGAGGTGCTAAGCACCCCCACAGTGCTCAACACCCCTTGCACGTAGGTAGCAAAACACCTGGGTCATCTTCTGTTTAATCAAGTGATTTTATGTTCGAAGTCTCTGTTGGTAAAAGAAACTGATATATAGCAACAGTGCGGGTGGGGCGGGGAGGCGCCGCGGGGGCGGGGGAGTGGAGAGGGGGAGAGGCGGGGGAGGGGGAGGGGCCCACACCCTCCACTTTTGGCAGCACAGGCACTGTGGAATCCCAGTCAATTTCATCATCGCAGAAATCATTTGAATTCCGGAGCTGCCTGGAGCCCAGGAGCCAGGGCTCCTAGGGAGCTCCGTGCCTGGCCTGGGCTGGTGGAGGGAGCGTGGGCTCCACGTTCATCGGCCCCTGCCCCCCCAAGCCTGGTACCCAAGAAGGGTCCCTGGCGAGGGATGCCCCTCCGGAGCTCAGCCCGGCCACTCCAGCGGGGACCTCGGGGCTGTCCTAGATTCAGCTGCTCAGCTGTGCGCTTTGCAAACGCGGCTGCAGGAGCTGAAAACCCAAATGCACTTCCTGAAGCCGTGGAGATGAAAATACAATTTCTGCTGCGTCCGCCACTCTTTTTCACAGTGCAGCACCATTGGACGGGGCGGCGGGGGGGGGATGACCACGCAAGCTTAAGTGATTTTTTTTAAAACACGATCCACAGAGATTACATAAAAAGTACAATTAAGGGACGCTCAGAATCCCGAGGCCTCCAGAATATTTTTAGAACAATCACTGGAGTGATTCTTCTTAGTGGTAGAAACACTCCAAATCAGAAAGTCAATTTTTCCTCTATTTGCAGAAGTGAGCTGGCTCCACTGGACGGCCTGCGTGTGTTTTGCTTGGCGGCTGCTCATAAGACTGTCTTGGCAGCTTTTCCTTGGAGCGCGCACGGTGAACCTGGCTCTCGCACACAGTAGCACTTTCATTCTACGCGCCGAGCCACGCTTCCCGAATAACAGCCTGGGAGCTGCAAAACCCCTATAAGCCCGGCCCTTTAAATGGGGAACAGAGCAGCCCTTTCGGGGCCCTGCTCGCCACAACAGGGATTGTAAACCGGGGCCGGTGCTTTCAATCAAGAAACGTGGCTCTTGTTAAAAAGGCGGAAAACAAAACAACGCCGGCACGTTCCGGGGACAGCAGTGCGCCAGCTTCCACCTCGCCCCTGCCACACACACAGGCCCTGCCCTGGCCAGCTCTTTAGTCTCTCCTGCCACCAGCCGGGTGCCAGGGGTGTACAGCCCCAGGAAGTCAGGACGGGAAGGGGCAGGCCAGTTGGCGACCACGTGGGGCTGGCGCTGTGGGCTGGGCACGTCTCACGCTCCAGCTTTCCAGGTGTGGCTGAACATGAATGGGCGTGGGGGTGGGGGTGGGCGGGAGAGGTCCTGACCCTGAGCTCCGGTTTCCTGACCCACACATGGGGACGACGCCTGTACCGAGGTTGGTGGGAGACACCAGAGCCTGTGCGCGGAGGGCCTCGTGCTGCTCGAAGCTACAGACGCACAGGAGCCAGTGAGTGAGTGAATGAAAGCAGGTGGGGGCCAGGGAGGACAAGGAGGTGACGGACGGGCCAGGAGCCAACGCCCTCCATCCCTGGTCACTCACGGCTGGGAGCTGTCAGTCTGAGGCGGGACCGCCCTCCCCGGCTCGCACAGGCACAGCTATCTGGCCCTCTGGAAGGGGCTCCCGCCACTGTGTTCACACGCTCCCCTTTCTTTCTCTCTGTGTTGTTTACAAAGGTTTCATTATGTTTTCAACTAATCAGGAAGGCCCCGCTAATACACAATTAACATGTGATTATAAAAAAAATTAAAATAGCTTCCAGAAGAAGGAAATGTAATTAAGTAGAGAATGCTTTTCAGTAAGTGCGTGCTTTAACCTATTGTCAAAAGACAGCCTACGTCCGTCCACAATGCCTGGAACAGACGCCAAGGGCAGAATGTTAAAGGCGAGTAAAAAGAGGACGTGATTGCGGGAGGAGTAATCGCCGTGGACCTGGCACGGCGAGCTCGGCTCTGGCTGCAGAGCGCTGACCTCCCCGCCATCCTCTAACCACCCTCTCCTGTACAAATGTTTCCCTTCTGCAAAGATAAAACAGACGATTAAACCCAAACCTCGGGTAGAAAGTGCAAGCAAGTGAAGGCCCAGTAGCCAGGCAGGCAGGCGCTCGGACTCCACTGCGATCAGGAGTCCCGGCCGGGGGCCACGGCGGGGGGGGGGGGGGGTGACGTCACCCCTCTCTAATCAAGTCTGAGGTCACTTTGCTTCTGATCGCTTTTGGCCAGATTTCAGGAGGGATCTGTCTGTGAAAACTCTCCTTGGAACGTGGGCTGACCCACCCCCAGGATTGTCTTACTTCTCCCAGTTTCCTGAAGCCCCCGGGGGTCAGTGTCAACGTGACCTTAGCCCTGGGCTGGGGGTGGGGATGGATGGTTGCTGTCCATCAATATGGCCCCAAAGGAATCGCAAATTTCAGCAATTTCCCAAGGAAACGGAGTCTGGGGAGAAATATGCACCTGCAGGCACATGAGTTGTCAACATGGTTGACTCCCCCCCACCTCCAGACGTGACGAGAGGAAGCGAAAGCAGGAGGCCCACGGGGAGTGCCAGGGTCCCCACCCCGGGGACCCAAACCACAGGAGCTTAGCACAAACACTCCTGAGCCCAGTCTGCCCCCAGCATCCCTCTAAACTGCTCTGGCTCAGAAAACACGGTCGGGTCTGGTAGCCCAGGTGCCTGGACAAACATCCCACGGTGGCAGCAAAGCCAGGAGCAGGCCTGGGGGGCATGGCCACAGCCTCTGCCTCCCTGGCTGCTGCCCTCCTGCCAGGGAGACCCTCGTCCCGTGCTGCTCCACGTGCCTCGGGCACAGGACTCGAATCCAGGGCTTCCATTCCAAAGTGGCCTCCACTCCACAGTTATGAGCTGGGAGACCCAGGGCGAGCTGCTGAACTTCCGCGAATCCGTCCCCACTGCCCGCGGCGTGCTATTCCCTGCCTGCCACACAGGGGATAAGACAGTCCAAGGTTCTAGCGGCTGGCCCTGCGGGAGGGGAGCAGGGGCCTGCAGGGGCCCAGGCCTGCAGGGCTTGCATGGAGGACTGCCTCCCTACCCAGAAGCCTTAGCAACGCTGGACGAAGCCACAGCCCCACCGCCCCTTGCTCCGCTCTCACAGCAGCCCCTGTGCGCCACAGCTCCCACGGGAGGAGCCCGAGGCGCTGCGGTGAAGCCCCCGGCAAGGAAAGGCAGCTGTCGGGGTGGCCCAACGTTGGCCGAGCTTGGCCTCTCCTCCAGGACGGCACCCAGGCACGTGGAGGCAGAGAAGGGGAAGCTGAAGCTGCAGAGGGGACTCCCCCAGCCCAAGCAGGACGAGGGCCCGGGTCTTCAGCTGCTGTGCAGCCCAGGAAACAGGAGGCCCAACCAGCCACAGCACAGCCCAGACAGGCGCTCAGTGCGGATCTGTCTGCCATTCCGAGCCACAGCCCACAAACCCAGCACGGGCACCGGCAGTGGTCCACTGTGACCCAGGGCTCCCCCCAGGGGGACCCCTGGCACCCAGATTTCCACAGATGAGCCCAGAACACAGAACACTCCCACGACACCTCCCTGGGCTCAGCCTATCTTCCCTAACCCTTTCAGATAGCAGATGAAGGCTACAAGGCTCAGAGAGACAACGCAGCCTGCCTGAGGCCACACAGCTCCCACCCAGCCCAGGGCCTGCAGCGCAAGCGAAGTTCAAAATCAAACATGGGTGAGTTTCCTTGCCATGGCCCCTGCCCCCGGGGATGCCAGGGGTCTCCAGAGCGGGGGGGGGGCTTGTCCTGTTCACCCCCGCGCCCCTTCACAGCACCATGTGACACGCAATAGGTGTTCAGCCAACACCTGCTGGACTCTACCGGAACGGCCCTCCTGCCTGCTGCCCAAGAGAGCCGTTAACATTCTGCAGTCGGCGCCCGCCCCGAGCGTCTGCACGGCGCAGCGAGAACTGACAATTCTTCCTAGATAAATATCTGGAAAGAGGTCGGGAAACAATTAAAACTAGAAGCTAATAAATGATGAAGAAGCCCAGGAGCCAAGTCCTGGCCCAGTTCCCAGTCTTCATTCATGCATCAAGAAAACCCCAGCGGTCCGAGGCTTCGAGAGGGCAGCTGGGCAGTGGGGCCGTCCGGCGCAATATAAATGGGAATTAGATACGATCGAACGTCCTCGCTGCATTCCCAACACCAGACACCACCGCCCGGCGCCCCCGCCCCCACCACGCCGCCCCCGCCAAGCCCCTCCTGGGGGGAACACGTGACAGACGATCTCGTAACCAGGCAACCAGGGGAGGAAAAGGCTCCCAAGTTCCTGCACAGAAGCCATGACGGCCGTGTTCTGCCTGTGGTGGCTGTGATGCCCTCCTTAGGTGGGGCAGGGGCTACGCACAAGCCATTCCTCCAGCCCAAGACCTGAAGGTCCTGGCATTCGCCCTCCCCGGCCCTGGCCGGCGCCACGTCCCTCCCAGCCACAACTACGGTCGATGCTGGCTCCCGAAGGTCCCGGGCCACGGCCCTTCCGGAACAGCTCGCCCTCTGCTCAGCCTCCCCGACTATTCCCGGTCTGCAGCTGTCTTGACAGATGCTCCCCAAATCCAGGGACCCAAAGCCCGGGGCCCAACCTGGTCAGCTGCGCATGGAGGAAATGTCTGCCTCCCGGCGGTGGGAGCGCCTCGTGCCCCTGGGAGACGGAAGCTCTGGGTGCCGTGAGCCAGCAGGTGCATCCGTCTGCTGTCGGAGCTCACGGCACCGTCCAAGGCTGCAGGAGACGCCCCGAGAGCCGAGTGCTCAGGTGAGCAGCTCATTCGTGGGGGTTTCCTCCTCCCCAGTGAGGCAGGCCCTGGATCAGGCGACTGGAGGCTGGAGAAGGGACAGGGGTTGTGACCAGGAACACACCACATGCTAGGAACTTGGCCTGAAGGTTCCACACGCGGTCTCAAGAACATGCTCTCGGGCCTCGGGGTGCGCTAT